AGGGAGAGAACTCTATAAGAGAGAAATTCACCAGAGATGTTATGAAGACAGGCAATCAAGCAAAAGTTCATCTAAGAAAGTAAATTTTGAGGATGAAATGATACATCTAGGAGTTGGAAGCAGTAACAAGGGTGTATGGGGTATTCAAGCACTGGCGAAGGCAAGTAATGATATCAATCTGCAGAATCTAAAGAGAAGCCAAAATTACTCTAGTTTTGAGTCTTGCTAAGCTAACGGCAGTCTTCGCTCTACTCGCGAAAGGCTGAGCAAAATTGAGGTGGAAGAACGTAGAACATATTTCCGAGGTGGACGGTTATAGGAACAATAAATTTGGATGGTGACACACAGAGTATGATGATTAGGAAAGGAGGGGGTTCTTTTTGATGGATTGTTTAGGGTTATGATGGGACGTCAGCGATAGAACGGACTACAAGGTTGCGGCCGAAGACGGCCGCAGGCTGTTGGGGTTGGGGTGGCGATGCAAAGGGATGATCATATGATTGCCAAGCAGTGGAGCAGCTGCGGCGGTTGGGGGTTAATGATCCCGCTAACATGTATCATCCATTGTGTGGGGGTGCTGGACGACATCTTTTGGTTGCTACCATGTGATGCTGTTGAGTGAGTGAGGGTTCTAGGACCTACGGCCAAAAGCTGTGGGCGGCGCGAGTGCAGCTAGGGGCAAGGAGTCGGTCGGAGGGAAAAAGCGAGGAATGTGGGAGGTCAGTGATCATTTAGACGGAGCTGTTGCTGGGTGCTGATGTGGATGGTGTTGCCGCTAGTGCGGTTGAGAATGAGTACGCGAGTTGTGGCTGGTCCGGTCGAAGGGAGAGACGAGAGAGTAATTCTTGCAGGTGGGAGGGGAGAAAATTACCGCAAGAAGAGAGAGGAGGAATATCTCGAGAGGAGAGAAAGAATTCACGCAGAAAGAGATTTTGCAACGAGAGAGGTAAGTAGATTTCACATGGAGAGTAGAAATTTCAATGTGACAAATAGGAGATTATGAAGAGTATAAAGACATTTTGCATGGGAAAAGTAAAGGAGATTTTAGTGAAACAAAGAAGTAGATTTTTGCAAAGGAAGAGAAAAATTTCCTTATGAGATTTTTGCATAAAGGAGTGAGAGAGATTGGGAATGAGGTTTCAAGACGAATTGATATAGCAATTTCACAAAGAAAAAAAAGTGACATTTTGTTAAGAATTGAGTTTTTAGGACAAAAGTAAAGTGTAAAGTGTATTGGGTCTTAAATGTCAGTGCTAAGTGAACCCTCAAACTATTACGCATATGGAGGAAAGTATTAAGCTAACAGAAACGCATTGACATCAATTATTATTTTATCACACATGCAATTTTATGATAAAAGTATTGAGGTAGTCAAGAACAATAGTAAACTCAATCTTAGCTCAAGTGTTATCAAAGTTATTATTTTGTACAATTTTAGGTACATTGTGTTATTATGCAGGTTTTGCATGATAAGCACAAGTAAAGTTTACTAGAAATTTTAGTTGCATATTTATAAATACTTATTAGAATTTATAAAAGAATAATAAGTATTTACATTCATGAATACTCACTATAACTTTTGAAAAAAATAAAATTTGAAATTTTTTTATTCAAATTTAGGATTATATTTGAAAAAAATTTGACAAAAAAAATATTAATTCCAAATTTACATATAATTTTCTTAATATTTTAACATTTCAAGCTGTTGCACTATTTCCAAATAAAACTAATATTTTAAAATTAAATATATTTGTTTCTAAACTTTTTGAGTTTATGAAAAAATATAAGTAATATTTAAAAATGTATATTATTTTTTATGAATATCACATAATCAGAATTATGTTTATTTAAAAAATTTAACCTAGTTTACTTAAGTGCATTTGGACTTTTATGAGAATTGTATCATGAATTATAAATTTTGAAAAAAAACTGGCTTTGAGTTTTTAAATCTTTAAAGTCATGATGATTCGATACATTTGTGAAGTTTTTTTTTTCTAAATCAAAGTACTTGTATCTTTTACAAAATAAAACCATCATAAAATTTAAATTTAAATTGATCACAAGATGAAATACATTAATTTTTTTGTAAATTTAAAACATGTTAAAAGGAATTAGGATGAAAAATTGATTATGTTTATTTTTTCAATATTCAATGTATTTGTACTTTCATTGCATTCGAATAATCAACTTATGTGAGAATCATGATTACAAAATTATTTGAATTTTTTGTCTAATAATGCTATCATGCAATCAATAGAGCTAAAAAAAATCATTACAAACAGAATTTTAAGGTTGAAAATAAAACAATCATAAAAATAAGTCTGTTTGAATCTAAAAAAATGATTGAATAATGGAAAAAGAATTAATAAGACACATTCATACAATTTTTTTGGAAATTCATGTGTAGATGGAAAACAAATTCTAATGTGAAACAAATTGACATGATGAAGTTTGCAATGCATATATATATATATATATATATATAATGGTGATATCAAGGTGAGCCAAATTTAAAATTTATTTTTATTAATAATCTATTTACTTGAAAAAAGTATAGTTTGAACATATCTTGTAACAACAACTCATCATTTTTTTGGCATGAAAATGAAAATAAATGTGTTTTGAATTATGTGATGAAACTTATGTCAAGCCTTACAACTTTATCAGTTAAAAAAATGTGATTTTTTGAATTAGAATATTGTTCAATAGAAACGATTATCAATTGGATGAGGTGACAATTGACACTTTGTTTAATTCTGACACAAACATTTTTTCAATCCACAAGAGCCAAATGCTTTAAATAATTATAATACTTACAATATGATCAATAATTTATCAAATATGGAGTAATATACCTTCTTAGTTCAATAATTACAATTAGCTTGCCATTCTTATAAATGTTAAAAAATCAAATTATTTTTTTTAGTTGATAATCACTTTTTCTGGAGATAAAAAATTAAAAATTAAAGTACGTTATATGTGGAAATTTTAGAAATAGTATTATTAGCTAAGAAGTAAGAAGTAACTTATATTTTTCTTTTTCCAATCTACTACGTTCAAATGAATAGGTTGATGTCATATCAAAGTCAGATCATATCGATTGACAAATCTATTTCATAGAAATTCATATTGGTAGATTGATGCAAGGATGCAAAAATTGAAACTATTCATCTAAATTTAGAATTTAATAAAATTTGAGATGAGATGAAATAGCATATAGTTTGCAAATCACAATTAAGTGAATGCAATCTTGAACTCAAATGTTGAATTTTTTGGAGGATTGTAACAGATGCAGACAAATTTTTAAGCATTTTTGGGGAATGTAAAGATAACAACAAATTTTATTTAACAACTTTGATCTAATCCTTTAGAGCATTATTTATAGTAGAAGTTTGTATAGTTACATCTTTCATTCTTCCAAGTATTTTTCCCAAATTATAAGCATAGACAAGATAGGATGGAGAGTGGTTTAAACAGCTGACACAATCTCGTTGTTATATCCATTCGGATACTTCAGTTGCCATTTCCAGGCCACTTCTAAGGTCTCTGTAAGATTAACATGCTTCGCCTTCCACCAAAGTTCGTCGTTTATCTTTTTGGGCTGACTGTAAACTTCAGGATAATCGCCTGGTCTCCTATCTAAAATGGTCACGGTGATGTTGACCTTGGTGGCGGCCTTGCACGCTTCCACGAACTCTTTCACGGACAAACCTGAACGTAAGATATAATGTTTAGTCATGAGAATGAAACCACTGCCTTCGTCATATTTCTAAGCTGCACTCCATTCAGCCGACCCAACTTTCTCGGCAGAGAGTGCTCAAACAATTAATAACTCAAGTTATTTTATACTCTTGAAGAATATTAGATAGAACGTACATGTATATTATTTGTTGCTGGTTTGATTTTAAGATGATGAAGTATAATTATGATCAATAATCATGATTTGGCTATTTCATGAGAATATAGAAATATGAAATGAAAATAGCATCAGTGTTATTTGCAATTGAATAGATTTCGGATACATATATAAAACCAAAGGATATAATTTTCATGTCGTCCCTTGGCTTTTAATATACACAGGACAAGATGAGTTGCAATTTGTTGATGAATTAGATGAAATGCAAGATGTCAATCAGGAATTGAGTGGGATAAGAAAATGAAACATGAAATATACTTATGTAAGCTATGTGATACTTATAATCATCCACTTCTATATTCTTAGTGTTAGCATAAAATTTAGGGAGCGGCTAACGTGCACTACTTCACTTTAGGCTAACGTGCACTAATTCTCCCCCTTTCTCTTTGCTTGCGAAGACTATTACACGGAGCTCTAGTAAACAGAGAGATAGGGTGAAGGATAATTAACCACTGGTCACCCTCGAAATTTATTCTTCATAAACATGACAAAACCATTACTATGTATAGGTATCCCGCAATCTCTCTTTGAGTATCTCACTCGACCATCACATCACATATGGATGTTAGAACTACTTGGGAAGCACGTGATTCCTTGACCAGGTTTGGATAGTTTTGTAAGAGAGTGTGCATGGCTTCATCACGATGGACATATTATTCACGTTTATTTTGGTCTAACATAACATTAATGTACATCTTGCTTTAGCCAATGACATCCTAGAGAAATAGCTTCAAAAAATCATGGTTGTTGCAGTACTCTCGATCTACACGTAGGAGACATCGGAGTCGCCGTTGGATCCATAGTGTAGTTGATTAGCTTTCTGCTTTATTGGATGCTTTGAATTTGGCTTTGCATCCAAAATAATTGTTGTTGCATGCGCATTTTATTATGTAGGGCTCCTTTTCTTTTTCAATTTTATCTCGAAACTTACTGTAGGATAGAAAAGTTGTTGTAAAGAGCAATACCTCTCCCTTGCTGCCTAATACATTGCCTGACATATGACGGAATACATGCAACATAACAATAACGGTTGGTTTATATGTCCGATGACTTCAGTTCGGACATGTAAGTACATTCCGTGCCTGAGCACAACCTTTTTAGCCACAGACTAGCCTTTTAGATCACACGTTGTAAATCTTACGAGAAATAATAACGTTTCAGGAACTGATCGTCCGAGTTGCCGTAACTCATCCTCGGGCAAGTCACGGAAACAAGTCAGGTCTGTCCAGGCAGCAGAATACACGAGAAATGCTAGCACCTGCACACGTGTCTTCTGTTGCGTGCGAGACGGAGGAATGACTCGTCTGGAAATGAGTTCCGAACACGCGAAAGTGCTGCAGGGATAACGATCCATCTCCGAAGTCGAATGTCCTGGAACAGGTAACATCGCTCTCACGTGTACGTTGCAGGAGATGCCCGGAGCATGCGGTCCGTGTGGACTTCGGGAGGCGAATTGCATTAGTTTTCGTCTAATTACAAAACACTAAATTCCGATTTTTCAATAAAATTGTATTGGATCAATTACATATCCTGAATTTCGACTATGGTTTCAGAATCTGAGAATGAGGCAGATCCTGCCTCTTTCCGGGACAGGTACTGACTCCTTGACTCGGACCGGGATTTGTCGAGTTTCGATGCCTAAGTTGTTCCCAGTGACAATCACGAGCCGAGATGGTTCTTGAAATTGAGTGCGTTAACCAGGGTTGCTTCCCGTTCTCAAACGTCGTCGCCATTGTTTGTTTTAGTGACACGAGGTGAGTAATTCTTGTCGTACGTGTTCAGCAGCTCAATGTGAATTCCTCCTAGTCCACAAAATTTGATGGCTTTTCTCCTTCACCTCGTTTCATTCATCTGATCCTTTCGGTGTTGGACCAGATGTCTATTTGCAAATCGCAGTGTCGTTATATATATTGATTGTTTTCTTTTTTGCCAGTCAAATGTTCGCTATCCTTTCTCTTCAATGTGCAAACTTTCTTGGAATCGTTGTTGACGTCTCAATTTAAATTTAATTCCTCACAATGTACAGCTGCAGGCCATGGTGATGAATAAGAAGTTTGGAGGGAGGATGTGCAGCTGGACGAATGCTTGAAATGCGGCTGTTAAGGATTACCAAGTAAGCATTACCTGATCTTGTTAAGTTTGGTCCTGCACTTGTTAAGTTTGGCATGTGTGCATGCTTTATGCTACTAATCTTCCAGTGCTTGTCTTACTCTATCGGGAAAATTGCCTGCACAGACAGAACTTCTGTCCTTATTTGGGCGGTCTTGTGGACCAAATCAGGGTAAACTGAGAAGAGCTTATTTAAACAAATTACTCACCTCAATTGTCAACTTTAATTTGGTACTACGCATATTGATACACTCGGATGAAACCTTTGGACCCCTCAAACTGTCATGGCTCTCTTTCGGCCATCCAATACAGCATTTGAAAGTAAAGTGCTGGCTGGTCAATCAAATTCATGAATTTCATTGCAGATTGAAGTTGATACATAATCAGAGAATCTCAATTGTTTGATTTTGTTAGCCGCTAGATCTAGCAACTTTATTCTTTTAAGCAAGGAGGTCTGACGTATGCAGTTTGCTTCAGTCTCTTGGGTCGAATGTTAACTTTCCTTTTGAGCTACTTATCACCATATTAGCAACTTCAAACAGTGTGTCACGGGTGAAATGTGAGCTGGTACAATGTTTCTTTGAGATCACTTTCGGCCGAGTACCAATTCAAATTTGTTTTTGTGGTAGGTGTATGCTTCTTTGCCATAACAGCTATTGTTCTTGCTGTCGACTATTTCCTTCGAACATTGGTCTCAACATTCTGTAGATGCTCATATTCACTTCCTGTTGCTAGGGCCACAGTAGAAAATTTTCAGTAGGGTTTCCACCGTTTGATACGTTGCTCTAGTTAGGACATGACAACACGCAAGTGAGGATGTTCCTAGTGTAGTCAAAATCTTTCTTTTCTTAATTTGTCAATTTATTGTAATTTGTTAGAGAACTCATGCTTTAGAGTGTCGTACATAATGTGCGAGAGTATGGAATTATAAGCCAGCTAGTTGTCCCTGGAGATGAGAAAACTTTTGCGCGTGGTTCTGACTGGATTTTGTAGAGTTACTGTTCAGCAAATACCTGCCAGTTTTGTAAGAATCATTTTCCTCTCGCCTTGCTCACAATACTTGACAAAATGGTGATTAGGGTCTGTTGTCTAATTGTGGTCCAAGCGCAGCCTTTCTTAATGTATATCTAGCCTCCGTATATTTCTGAGGCAGTTCTCTATGTAGAACTGAAGGTGGACAGTTCTGCAATCTCCATCTGAAGTATCTTGCCCATTTTCTGCCATTCACTGGCCGCAAACCAAAAACAGTAGCCAAACTTCTGCCATCAGGGACTCCTGCTGGAAATGATTTGCAGGCTGTATTACGAAAATGTGTACTTGCTTCGAAGTGTTTTTTGGTTGATCTAACAACGTTCAACCTTGGTTCGTGTTTCATGTACGAGCTAGTATGTTGCCGGCAAATGTGTCGTGGAGGTCGTTTACTGAAAGTATATCTCGTGTGAGAAGAAATCCCTATCGTTGTACCTCCCGGGTCTGTGCCCACTGTGCGTCTGATCACGATTCACGTTAATGTTTTTTTCTTATTTAAAGCTCGGAAAGTTATTTCCATTCTCCCGGCGGTTTTCCCTCTCCTGGCTTCAGTGACGTAAAAGCAGTCCGACATTTCAACGAGCTTAAACGATGTTTAAGCTTGATGGCGCAAAGTTAAGCTGTGTTGCCGAGGAAGAACATTTATATAGTGCATTGCATTGCATTGCATGTCCATATAAACGGATCCCAACCATGTACGTTAAGTTTAGACTGTCAAAATCTCGTTTTAGGGCTGAATTTTTCTGTACATACACAAAGAGCACGAGATAACATCATGCTAATGGGCATATTAGGTTCATTTTTCGTCCTGTCCCTTCATCCTTTTACCAACTCTGCAAAATTTTCTGTTGAGTCACCCGAGGTTCTCATTTCTGTTTGCTGATGCAAACAGAAATTTATTATGATGTGCTGTGTACCTGCGTGCATCAGTAATATTAGTCATCCATTAGTATTTCGGAGTTCTAGTGATTCTTACGGTGCTTTCAGGTTTTTTGGTCATTGTTTTTATTTGGTACTTTGGATTGCAACTTGCAGGTTCTGAAGTTTATCAGCATCTTGTCAGAAGGCTACCTCTAGATTCGGCTGGCCTTCCTCTAACATTCTTAATTGCGAACTAAGATGTAAGTGACCGCTATTTGGACTTGAAAAATGATGCAATTTCTTGTGATAAGGTACTTGAATTGTAAATTGTTGAATGATGGGCATTTAACAACAGACAGTTTCTTATTGAAACATAATCCTGACAGTCGCTTCCTTGCTGATAATTCGGTTTCATTTGTCACAGGGCTTCTTCTTGTCCGAACGCTGACCTCAAACAATATGCGTCATCCAGCGAAATTGAGGATAGAAGGGCCTATTTAGAGCCCCTTATTGCTTCTAAAGCTAGACAAGAAGAGATTTGTGTGCAGTTGCCTCACGTTGATGAAGTTGTTGCCGTTCGAGAGCGTTTGGTTTCGCTGGATATCTTTAGGGGCTTGGCTATTGCGGTATGTCTCAGACCTCTTGAGCTGTTTCTGTTCGAGATACTCTTCTAAAAGAAATATCTCAAAGCAGTGTGAGATTTTACTACACTACTAATTTACTCATCTTTCTCTCATCACGTCAACTTAAAGTACAATAAAAAAGCTATAACCTGAGACGTTGATTGATGATGGCAAAACACAAAAAAGAAGAGCTCGCTCTTTGTACATAATTACAGATTTTGATTGTAGTTTAGGTTGATATGAAGTCGAAGGTTGCTTGACATTGAGAGTATCAATTCACAAATTTTAAGCTCTAACTCATTGGAGACTTTATGATAGAATCCCCAGATTTAAGTCTTCGACTGTGTGCTACGTGCATAAAGGCTTGTTCGATTGTGTTCTTCGAAGTCAAATGTGAGTTTCATGCATGCAGCCAAACTTGAGTATGGTCTATAGCATTCAATATACTCGTTATATGTCGGTGAAATTATGTACTTTTTGTTAGACTCAATCCACATGGCCAATGCAGTAGCTAGTTTCTAGAATAAGCACTCGTTTTGTTGATATATAAATGTGAGTGCAAGCCACGGAACCAACCTGAGTACAAGTACTACAAGAAAGATTGTAGATGTGAGTTACTTTAGCGGGCTTCAGTGCTATTCTGCGGTCTGTAGATATTGCTTTAGAAGCCCTCTTACAGATTTGAGGTTTAAGCTAAAAGGTTAGATAGACTTTCCGTACGGTATACACATCACTGTTTAAACGCTAGCCTTGTCCTAGTCTAATGAATCAAAAGGATGTTAGGTCTTTGAGAAACAATGAGGTGTGAACATTTCATGGGAGGTTTGCTTCTGCATGCGGTTGCTTATTGATCCTTAGAAAAAATTGCGCAAATCATACTTCAGAATTATTTGGAGGAAACCTTGTCACCAGGAAATCTTGATATTTGTTTCTCAAGGAAAGAAATTGCTGATCAATAAACTCCATTATCAATCGAATCGGGTGATTGAGACTTTACACGTTGATTAGGGCTCAGATATACGGGTTCAACCCTAACTTTTTATGGTGAATGGTTGAAATATTTTGATGTTTGGTCTTCAGTCATACTATGATTTTGAAGAATTTTGGATGAAATTGAGACGGAGTAGTATCGACTTTGGCTAATGGGTATCTTTTTTTCTTGTTCCTGGACAAACTTATATGTGAGAAATACCCACAGTTTTTGAGAAAATAAAATGTTCGTGGTTGTTACTTGATTCTGCAGTTGATGATACTCGTGGATGATGGAGGGGGCAAATGGCCAGCTATTAACCATTCTCCATGGAATGGGGTCACACTTGCAGACTTCGTGATGCCTTTCTTTTTGTTCATTGTCGGCATATCGATTTCTTTTTCATACAAGGTACTTTGCATGTTACGTTTTCCGTTGCAGAGTTTGTTACTTCTTTCTCTTTCGTTGTGAGCGTATTTATTCCTCTTCCTTGCAAGGTACTTTTTTGCCAGTACCTCTGGTACTCCTAGCTGCCTGCCCGAGGTTTATACATAATCCAAAAGAATTCACTTACAGCAAATATTGCTATGCATGTGAAACAGATAGAAAAATGACAACTATGCAACACAAGAACCTCTCTTATTCATACCAGCATAGTTACAATCAAACTCTACTCCTAGCCAGAATCTAGCTAAACTATGCATCCTTCAATCATGGTGTAATTGAAGATGAATACACTCCGTGGAAAGTCAATTTGAGTGGGTGCTAGTGCTACATCTAGAATACATCATAGTCAATTGCTACAAGAACAGAGTTGAGAAATCGAAAATATTTTGGGCCACATGGGCTGGTGAGGCTGATATAGGATAATGAAGCTAAACGCTCTAAATTACATAGATTTACTGGAAGTTTTGTCAAGAACCTGAGAACATTGAGAAGTGTTTCGAAGTTGAGACGTCAATATTACAACACATGATTACCAAGAGGTTGTTAAAGAAGACCCTGGATCAGGTCAACAAGGACATGGTAGGAAATAACCCATATGCTTGGGACATTTGGAACAAGTTGAAAGCTCTAAGCAAGATTGATATCTTGATGATGCTAGATTGAGGACAGAGATGATTACCTTGAGGATGAAAATGTTGGCAGTATGATTGAATGGCCAAGTTGAGCCTATGTTTTTCTAGGATTTGTGAATAAGGCACAGTCATTCACCCTCATTTCAAAGTCGCACATCTGTTGAGTAGTCTACTTGAGAAGTTTGTGCCTCTTGTGCTCTCCTGAATAACAAATTACTTGGGAATTGCAATTTTCCCAAGTCACTTGAGAATACCGGGAGTTCGGATCCCTCGCCATCCGTGAGGATGTTAATGAGGTAACTGCATTCTCTTCAATGCGTTTTCCGAACTCTTGGGCTCTTTGGACACTCGACCTATAAGGAGAAGGTTGAGCCGCCTCTGGTGTTCGAAAATCGTCAAGCCAGTTTTGGCCTTCGGCCCTTCGGACGGCCCGAAGGCTACTGCTTTGGCTTTCCGGAAAAATTGGCGCAGAAACTTTCCAGTAGCTGCCAGCTAAATGCCCCCGGACTTCTTGTCTGACTGACAAATCCCCGGGCTTTGTTGTGTCGGAGAAGTGACCACATTATAACAAGGTGGTTACTTTTGTTACAAGGTTTGAGAGGGAAGATAGAAATCAGCTGTTGCGTGCGTGCTGCTTTTACAAGTCTTATGCATGAGGTGACAGTGCGCATTTGAGTTTTCAAAGATTGAGGGAAAGGAAATACGTCAAAAAGAAAAGAAGGTTAGGAAGAAGAGAGAGCGCAGTTTTAGCACAAAGTTGGCTCCAACTCTGTCAAGATTGAGGAGAAGGAAATACCTCAAGAAAATAGGAAGTATAAGAAGGATAGGGAGAAGAAAGAGAGTGCAGTTTTATCCCAAAGATGGCTCCAACTCTTCCAAGTTTGAGGGAAGCTAAGATAACGTGGATGACATCTAGGTTTTGTATGCAGCTCTCACATGAGATATGAGAGCCATCACTTTAGTATCATGGAGGAGATGATGAGGTCTGTAGAGAGTGAAAATGGAGTTCAACCTCAAATCCTTGGAATAACTGCAAGGTTTTTTCACAGTGATGGAGACTGAACACGGACAAACAACATACTATGGTGCTGCAGGAAGTTAGTTCTGTATCTGATTTCGTTAAGAAACTTTATATGAGTGAACAAGTCTACTCTAGCTTGATGTGCACTTTGGAGGAAATTCTTGTACTTTAAAAACGATTAGCCGGTGGTATATTTTGGACCAATATCTAAGCTGTTGGAGTGAAACACAGGTAATCAGAACATCATTATCTCACACATGAGCATTTGATGAGGTTGTGGCATAGGAAATTGTGACATTTTTTGTGTCTAACATGAGACAGTTGGATAATATGGTGAATGATGTGTAGTTGTTATGGGAATTACTACAAGTCTCTGAATCTTGTGCCATGTGGAAGTTACAGAAGACACCGTATCCCAAGAAAGCGTTTCATAGATCAGAGAGTTGTTAGAGTGATACATTCAGATGTATGTGGTCTTATGGCTTACAAAAGCATACAGGATACACAACGGTACCTTACATTCATTGATGACAAGATTTTTAGTCCGATGGGTACACGAAAGTGACGAAGTTGCTTTGACTATTGAATAAAATTTTTGTTTGGCGTGTTTGTTAAACTCGTGAATTGGATCGTTGGGCAGTTAAAGAGCTCCACGTTATGTTTGAACCACAAAAATGAGGCCTGGGATAGTTTCAAAGTCCTCATGAACATGGTATAAACTCGGATAGGAAGGTTAAGAAACTTAGATCAGATTACACATGAATCAAAGTTGACAGAAGTTGCAGAGATTGAACAGTACCCTAAATAACAATGCTATGAGTGTGATCGATAAAGCTAACCTCAAGATGCAGTTTTGGGGAGCAGCTTTGTAAACTGCTATTTTAGTCAGAAACAGAAGTCATATTTTGGCGCTGAAGGGCATTACACCAGAGGAAGCATGGTAAGAAACCTGATCTTAGTGTTTGGATGTCTAGTCACAGAAGCAGAATTAGAAACCAGGATTGAAAGCTTCAAGATTCTTCTTTATTGGTTATGGATAAGGATCTAAAAGTTACACGCTGTACAATCCATAAACGAAAAAAAACAGTTCAGAGTAAAGACGTAGTGTTTGATCAGAAGAACTTTTGGGAGGAATAGGGAGGAAATAGATGGAAGAGCTAGCATTGCCATGTCTGCTTTAGTTTCTATACCTGTTGTTCGATGTGTAGTCCTACCATTTCTAAGAGTTGTGATGGTCAAGGTGGATCATCATTCCAAACACATGATTTCAAGAAACTTCTGACAGTTGGTTATGAAGTTGAAAGTCAGGTTCAAGCAAATCAAATGTATAGAGAACAAGAGGTAGATGGACCATTCGAAATGAAATTCGAATCATATCCAATGCACGCCTATGTTAGGATGACAGGAAAGCATGGAAAATATCAACAAATGGTTGAAAATGGTGATTCTACTGAGGAAGTTGCTCTTAGAAGATCTAGGAGGCAAAAAATCCTCAAAATACAGGGATGGTGGATTGGTAAGAGGTTGCCGATATCTCAATTCAGAATTGTAGTGTTATGGAAGAAGCTGTATCTAGTTTCGAACGTGATGAACCTTCTTCATATAGTTTGTTCTATTTTCTTCCAGTCTTGTCTGGAAGAAATTAAGAAGAAGTTATTCATGAAGGGAAGCTTTCTTTTGAAAAGAACCACACATGGGATATGGTGGATCTGCCACCTAAATGAAAAAGGATTGGATGCAGCTGATTATTAAAAGTTCAGAGATGAGGTACTGGAAAGATGTTGTAGTATAAAGGTAGATAGGTAGCTAAGGAGTATATTTCGAGACCAAGCATTGATTCTTTTGAAACCTCTGCTGGAGTAGCAAGGTACGGCTCCATCAGAATGCTCTTAGCTCTAGCAGCCGAGAAGTTGAGAATGTTCGGAAGTAGAGCCATTGGATGTCAAGAGAAATTTTCCAAATCGAGATTTGGAAGAGGAAATATTCATATTCATCTGATGGCTACATCGCTTCTGGTGGAAAAGTGTGTTGGTTGAAAAGAGCACTCTATGGGATTAAGCAAGCATCCAAAAGTTGGTGTCTAAAGCCAGATAGGTATCTCAGCAAGGGAGGCTTCAAGAGAGTACACTAAAATTTGAGTTTGTACAATAAGTGTGGAATGCTTCACATTGCAGCTTATGTAATTGATCTGCCGCTGATATGGAATGATATGGATTGAAGACATCGAGACATCAAAAAGAATAGGAATAAGTAAGAAGGTTTGATTAGAATCAACCACAGCAAGTACATTGAGAGTGTTTCACTGATGGTAAGATGGAGGATGCAAAATCTATTGCAACATCCCTGGATCCTGGTTGTAGACGCAGAATAGGCACGAAAGAAATCAGCAAGGAGACAGTTGAGGATCTGCAAATCTTTTATCAAAGTGACGAAGGTTCATTTATGTTATGGTTTTTACCGGACCAGACATAGCTCACTCAATCGGAGCTTTGGCCAGATACACTACCTGTCCAGCTCATTGGGGATTTGTCAGAAGGATTCTACGGTATCTAAAAGGCACTCTAGACATTTACTTGGAGTATCGGATGTTTGGATCTGAGCCCACCCTCAAAAGATTCTGTGATGCTAGTTGGAGAGATGAGTGGTTTTCGGTTTACTCTTAGTGGTGGAGCTGTCATTGGGGGAAGCAAGCAGGAGAAGTCAGTAGCTTTATCTACGACAGAATCTGACATCATGACTCTTCATTAGCCACTGAAGAAGTAATTTGGTCCAGAAGAATGTTTAGTGAGTTTGGATGTCCTTAACAAGCTCCAACTATATTGATATGTGTTAATACTGGAGCTATTGCTATCTTAGGACTGGACATATATTGGAATACGTCGAATTTCAAAAAGAAAGAAATAAGAAGAAAATATAGTTAGATTTGTGTAGTGTCCAACTCAGGACATGACTGCTGCTAGTTTTACCAAGGGACTTCCGAAAGAGAAACATAGGAAGTGCGTATTTTAAAAATGGGATTAAAACTGCCTTCTCTTTATATGGGAGTGATGAAATTGGGAATCTCGTAGTTAATTTCTCCGAAGGGTTAGGGTTTAAGCAAGGTTCAACTTAAAAATTAGGTTTTCAAGCTAGGGCATCAGGCTCTAATTTATACCATGAACTCTATATCTAGTCTGTTTGTTAGAAGCACAGGTTAGAATGCACACCTAGCCAGTGGTCATATTATTGAGTGTTAGATTGTTGAGAAGTGAGAGGTGGAGTTGAAACGTCAGTTTAAGTAGATTTTAAATTCAGAGTAGAGAATGGTTTTATTCAGAGTCGAGAATGGTATCTAGAGCTGTATATGTAAGTGATGCCCACCTCATAAATAGGAGAGTGATAATATGCTATCACTACACGAAGAGAGTCATGAGTTACTAATGATACATCTAGAATAAATTCTAGTTAAACGCAAGAGATTTCAGAATTTTTACATAGTGTATACTGCTGATGCTTAGCTTTTTCTATTTAATTTAGTGTTGTTATTTCAATGGATCTGCAGAGAATTCCAAGCAAAGCAGATGCAACTTCAAAGGCGATACAACGTTCATTGAAGCTTGTCGTCTTGGGAATTATATTGCAAGGTAAGATTGCATTAGTGTGCCCATTATTTTATCGTAGAAATTTCACTCACACGACGAAGTCACGATGACGAAGTCATTAGTAATGGTGACTGATCCTGATTGTCATGAGTATTCTACAGGTGGTTATTATCACGGACTCAATGATCTTTCTTTTGGGGTAGATGTTACACGGATCCGATGGTGCGGAATCTTACAGGTGCATCTTCACGAAGACAAGACCTCGTCACTCAAATAACTTTCATGTCGTTTAGCTGTTACAGCATTCATCCTTTAGTCTAGTGAAAATGGGCTTGAAGGGAGGCTTTTTCCAGTCATTTGCAACAATGTTAGCTCCTAAATTGCTGTCTTGAGTTAAAGTAGGAGTTTGACAAGAACATAGAGGTGAATATAGTTTGTTAAGTATCTGCATTGGAGTTACAAATGAGGTGCTCCGTTCAAGTGTCATTAAAAGCTGACATACTCAAAGAATGATGTTTGGAACAATGATGTTTGGACAAGGTTCGCGTGAAGATGGTTGTTTTCATTTCAATCCTTGCTTTTATGATAATCGTTGTGTGATATTTCAGAGGATAGCATTTGCGTACTTCGTGGTCTCTATATGCGAGATCTGGAATCCCCGAAGGCTTGGAAATTCTCCACCCCGTGGACCTCTTGATGTGTTCAATATGTACTTCTGGCACTGGTAAGGCTAGTTTTCAGTAGTTCGTTCCTTCCGCTAATAGGATGCTATTTCCCGGCCATCTTTCAAGTGCGTTCATAATTGTTACTTTATAAAATTCACGCTTTCACCGTATCGATCGTATTGGCAGGGTTGTTGCTGGGCTGCTCTCCACACTTTATCTGATAATTTTATATGGAGTGTATGTTCCTGATTGGGAGTTTGTGCCAGCTTCAAGTCAATCCCAGTCGCCTGTGAAGGTATGGCATTTCAACTTTTGCTTTAGCTAAATATATTTCACATTATTTAAAGGTCAGCATCAACCGTTTTGTTATGTGTAGTGTAAGCTTACATGCACATTAACTGCTTAAATTCTCGTAGATCACTCTTAAACCGATTTGTGCTTAAGAAGAGTTTGAAAACCTATTCATCAATTTTACGCACGTATTAGAGACTTCATGGAAAAGTAAATTACAGCATGTAGCACAAAGAAAAGTAAGTATGTTCATCAATATTTTCAAACACCTTTCTTTGTTAGCCTTACTTGGAATTGCTTGTGGAATTTTCAGGTCACGTGTGGTGTAAGGGGAGATTTGAGTCCCCCATGTAATGCAGTTGGATTCGTAGATCGGTTACTTCTGGGTTTGAATCACATGTATGGTGCTCCCATGTACAGACGCACCAAGGTAATGTTGTAGTCAGCATGACTAAGTGGTTTATTGTTTGATTTTGAACTTATGCTTCACGCAATATTTGACACCCAAACCGGCGCTTCTCCTCAACCAGGAGTGCAGCATCAACTCCCCAGACTACGGTCCAGCACCCCCAGGAGCTCCTAGTTGGTGTCAAGCACCCTTTGAACCCGAGGGCCTTCTTAGGTACATGATTTTCTTATATCCAGCACATTTAGGGCTTCCCAAGATTCAACTTTTAGCATAATCAGCATTCTAAAATTTCGACAATGCTCAGAGTGATTCTTGTGTCTACTGTTGAGTGTTGCTATATCATCATTTACTAAAGTTTGTAATGTTTTATGTGAATGATCTCAGAGTCAGACCATAGCTGTAATTCGGTCACAGTAAATGTAAATTAGATTGGCTGGGAATTATAAAGAATCTTCAGTATTTACTTTGCAGGTTAACTTTGTTGCCAAGTATTCGGCAGTCCCTATGATTTAGGTTTTTGGGTTTGTGTGTAACTAACAGTATATACAATCTTCAGGCCCACTTGAAAATTGTACATGCTGTTTTTCAGCTAGTAATGCAATCAAGTCAAAGAGTACCAGTTACTGATCACACCTGTGACTGTGAGTTATTAGATTACTGAAATGTGGGTATGATGATAGCAATCTAGATGAATTCGAGCCGGAGCTTGGTTTAATATGGGAAGTGCTAATGGAGAGATCTGACCTCGAGATCATTGCTTAGAATCTACTTCAGGGTTGAATTTGATGTAAACAGCTATGGCAAGTGCAAGAGAGTCTACATGTTATGGTAGAGACGTCATGAAGAATCTATCTATATAAATCACAGACACATCGATTTCCAACTTCTTGATTAACACTTTCTTTTTGAAGGTTCCTTGGGAAGGGTTGCGGCTTTATTAAGAGACAGATCTCAACTGTTTGCCGTTGTTCGAACCAATTTCGTGTACACTTCATCGAGCCTTTATTTTTTTGAAAGATCTGGATTTGGTGCTTGCAGCTCTGTATCTGCTGCGGGAAGCTGCTTCATAGGTTTACACTACGGTCATATCTTGATACTCTTGAAGGTTGAGAATTTTCTGTTTTTCTCGTCTGACGTGAAGTGAGTGAGATCCATGCGTAATGTCTTTGGGATTTGTTATGTTTGAGTTTATGTTACGGTAGACATACTCAATGGATGTCGTTTTTATTCACATTTGATAATAGCTTAATTTTGAATTTTCGTTCGGAGCTAATTTTCATGTCAAGGTTGACCGTTTTGATTGTACACTGTACATGGTGATCCATTTACATTCCATTTCATTCAGTTAATAAAGCTTGAGTGATAATTTTGTCCACCCAAGAATTCAAAATCGTACTGATCTTGAATGACTGCGTGCAGAGTCATGACACAAGAGTGAAGCATTGGATGATTCCATCACTTGGATTGATTATATTTGGTATAACTCTACACTACTTAGGTTTGTTTCTCAACCGGCACTTCAATTCAATATATTGCAGGTGTCAGTATGATGCAATTGCTTCACATCATGACGTAGGATGAGCCATAGTAGCCAACATATGTTGTGTCCAAATTACCAGCTTCTATGGTGTCAGAATGCTGTGTGTTTTGTATATCAATATGCACATCGAAAGTTTCCACTATCATATTAGGGTTTACTTTCCACTAAGTCCATTGCATATTAGACAGTATATATCAATGCTTCTCATTGGTACTAGGGACCCAAGATGGGCATGGCAGGGAGATGGAGTGCCCGCAAGAGTGAAAAAGCGACTTGAGGATACACGCTGTAAGAGGCGGTTCCTTCAGGGCGTGCAATCGTTACTGCACATTATTATTCAGAAAGTTATGTCTTCTTATGTTCCTTGAGCTTTAATCATGCCAAGAATCTGTAACAGTTTTGTCTGCTGGTTGGAATCTGTAACTATTTCGGAAAATATGTAGGAATGCCACTCAACAAGCCAATATACAGTTTCAGTTATGTCTGCGTGACAGCTGGTACTGCAGGTCTCGTCTTCGTTGCTATATACTTGATTGTAAGTTTCTCCTGGTCATCCAGCCCTGCCCACTTATGCTTCTGCGTGAAGATAGAGATATACGAGGAGAAAATGATGCAAGTTTGATGCCGACTTTTTTTTGGCTTTTAATTATTTGGAAGAGCATTGTCTTCAGTGACATAATAATTCTACTGATTATGACGACCGTATGATACAGGCTGATGTATGTGGTGTGACGTGGCCTACAAAGCTTCTGGAATGGATGGGTCAGAACTCATTGATCATCTTCGTCCTTGCTGCATGTGGCGTCTTTGCCGGACTTATCCAAGGATTCTACTGGAAAGAACCAGAAAATAACCTGGTATAGATATTCGATCCTTGTTTTTGCCTCAATTTTCCTCTCGAAGTGGTGCTCCAAAACATGTCACCGTGTTTGGCGAAATAGATGAACAAAATTAAGTAGGGTCTTTAAGTTCCATGGGCCACGTTTCCAGAACGAAGCTTTTCACATTGTCAATATTCTCTTTTTCAAGGCTAAGAATAGTAGTAAACTAACCTATGTTATGTAGAAACCTTAGAAGTTGGTTGTTACTCCTAAAGGGATTTTGTGTGATATTACAGGTCACCTTCATAGCGGAGCATGGCCCATGGCACAATCAGGGGTTTAGTCACCATCACCTTTTTGGCGTTTTAGAGCAATTTCAGCATTGAGTTTAACCAGTCAACTAAAGCCAGCAAGTGGGACTTGTGATCAACAGGTGAACTTCGTAGAGGAGCATGTATTTCAAGCACTTTTTACTTCAGAAAGAGTCGCCAAATTGGTCTTTGTGCTCTCTGAGATCATTCTTTGGTGTCTTGTTGCAGGGGCCCTTAAAGTAAAGGGAATTTTTTGGAAATTATAATTCGTAGTAGTCTTGTACATAATTCTAATCAGTTTTAGGTATTTGATCTGTCTGAACATTAGATAACAAATTGTTGATATGTAGAAGTAGTTTCCTAAGTGACTATGTACTCACCAAAGAGAGCATGAACAAGATACTTGCAAAGTCAAGAAGAATGTATTTTTCAGCTTGATGAAGTTTTATTTTTCATGCAAAAGTCTTATGCTCAATTCAAGAATTCTTTCTGCTACTGATTTCGTGAATTAGTTATCTGGTTTATACTCATACACTATGTGCGAGTTTTCTTGACACTTATTTTTTCATCGAGTCAGAGTGTAAGTTTGAATTTCAAATGAACTAGATAAAGGTTTGTAATCCACATGTCATCTTATCAAGGATCACAAAGACTTCAAATATATGTAACTAAACCTCATATTTATATCATTAAATTATCCTAATTAAGAAATTCAAATACGTTGTTATTATTAAGCTGCTATGAGAATTTAAAAATAATGGATAAACTTGAAACCAAGTTCAGATAACTGCACAACATCTATTCCATATCTGGTAGATTGATAACAAGACGGATTTAACTAACAACGTGTGAATTGTTAACGGGTGGTTTTCAATTAATACATTGAATCATTGTAGGACTAACACATGGATTTCTATTTTAACAATCACATTTATTATAATTTTACAACCAAGCAAATGCATTGTTTACGTTTTGACTATATATATTCCACTATACATTACTTTTGTTTCTATTTCGTGAATACCCTTCTTTAGTTGTGACTAATTAAACATATATGCACTATCGAAATGAACCAAAGTTGACGTTAAATTAATAATTGTGTTATGTTTGCAAACTTGATTTAGATATTGATTAAATTTCACAAATGTATCTTTGAAATATATCAAAAATTGAAAGTGCTTATCTCAAAAATTCCATGTATAAATAGAGAAATTGATGATATAATATCGATGTAATATTCGTAAAATAATATAATTTTATTTACCTTAATCAACGGGACAGTTCATTTTTTTTCAATTGGAGATTTATTATTTGATTCTCATCACATTTTTTATATAGAAATATAATGTATATTTCTTCTTTTGCATTACATATCAATTATGTAAAAAAGCTACAATTATATAAATTGTAGCTCATAAATTGGTTAGACCTTCGGAACTTCTTGAATGACCAATATTTCAAATGCGATATACGAGAACCATCTTCAAGTGGAATGGATATCATGAATCTACATCTTTGGAGATCGACCTTGACGAAACTCATCAGGCAGGAAATCAATCGTCGTAAGTTGCTGAAACATTTGACTGAAGATCAAAACTCCATCCGATCTAATACGGTCCACTGAGGACTCGCCTTTTTTTCGTTACTGATCCCCTCTAAGCCGGCTCTGCATGCACAGCCGTCAAAGATTTTAGCATTTGACACAAAAGAACATTGGAGTCTCGTTTGTAACACCATTAAATTGGTCCTCGGATTCCGACGCCAAGGTCTGTTTCCTGGTTGATACTGATATATGCTCGTCTTACACAGAAGGCTTTACATGTCCTACTCAACTTATTCCTTTTGATGCACCGATGGCCAGCTCATGAAAGTCCACACGTGAGTGGAAAATGGAAACTCGCACCGAATGCAGCTGCAGATAAATGCCCAAGGTTCATGTTCTGGATTTAGACGACGGCGGTTACAATGTCCTACATATACTCGATTGGAGATCTCTATAGGCTGCTTGAAAGACCTTGAACCTTTTTGCTGCTGGTCCATGTTCTTGGCAGGTCTATGGTGGGCTCCACGTGTGTAGGGCCAGTAACTATCGAGCAAGATATAAAGAGAAGAAACCGTAACGGTGTGGCTCCATACGGCTGTTCGTATCCGGACCCGATCGTTTGGTCGAGGCTGCTCGATTTTCACGATACGACCTGATGTAGATGATGTAGCAATTCTAAACAAGTGGCATCATGCACCAAGACAGCATCCAGTCTCAGATGAAAGTCCCGTGAGGGAAAAAATCGACCGCCCCACGTGACACCTTCGTTAATACCTCCATCTGGAGCATTTCATTATCCTAACGATAATTCTCAATTGAATCTCCATATTATCATATCTCCATAGGCTTTGTGCTGATAAGTTCACGTTTCATTTTTAACGGTTGGAATTCGAACAGATCTGACGCCCCAAAGAAAAGGATCTGGATGGTTGAGAAAATCAAACAAGATCAGCATGTATAATGAGGTTAATATAACACAAGCTAATGATGATGGACTAATGATGAATGTGTAGAAGGATACATTGTTAAGACATTTAGCTTTATTGTAATATGAGTAAGCCAGGGTGTACTTATTGCATCTCTTATTACTATACTTATTCCAAGTATGTTCCATTACAAGAAAATATATAGTTTTCACTAATCAGAAATCGGTTAGTCTAAATTATTGTTACGAGATAAAGATTATAAAATTCTCATTCAGGTCCCAAATGTATATTCAAGATCAAGAGAGTACACAATTATCTTTTAAATGATCAAATTGGATATACGTTTATGCCTTCGTCATATCGTCAATGATTATAATATCATATACTGGGATGTGAGAATTACCTTGAATTTGAAATTTTTTATAACTTGTTGATTTTTATGTCAGTTATTCGTTTTCAACAACAGATATATTTTGCTGTAAACAGATATTTTGATATTGAAATGTCGATGATTTTGAAAACTGATATTGTCATCTCTATAAAAATTTGAATATATTATGTTATGGAAAACATGCTTAAATAACTCTTTGATGACTATGGTAAATTGATTTTTTTATGTTTTGGTTTTTATCATTTCAAAACTGTTTCAATTTTTTGAAAATATGAAATTTACGTAGTATACTTTTCTCATTTAAAAAGCGTATCATCTCTTTGAATATTCTAAATTGATATGTTCTGGTTTTATCGATTGAAGATTGTCTGAATAAAATCATATTTCAAGTTAAAAACTTTGTTTCCACGCTATTAGTTAGTGTTCACTGGCATCCAGTAGTAAGCTTTCTTAGATTAAAGTATTTCATCAGTCAGTCAGAAAGGAGATTGACAGGTACTCAAGGGTTTCTATGAACTGATTGAGGTCTTCCTCATTGAAATCTTGACGTGGAGAAAAAACGTCAATGTGTCAAATCCTGAAAGACAAGCCTCAAGACAAAATTCAAATCTGAATGTAATTCAGAACACTGGAATTTTCATTGGGATGAGCTGTCAAGGAGTGTTCTTCTCCACGAAGCAACCTGTCGTCCTCAGAGCAAAGACCTCCTGCTCCTCAAGAGTCACACGTTAGAGGGCGTGCATCTCTTTGTACTTCTGTTCTCGACTTAGCTTGAAAATAAAAGGTTTGCAACTTAGAGACATGTACCTGAATTGATTTCCAGTCTAGCATCTCTCTCCTTATGATGTTTTTTTGCCAGTACTCAAATACTCTCACTATAGATGTAATAGGATATATTAGTTGCGTTCGGATGAGACTAGCAAATAACAACTTCTTTCACAAGTCAGCGAGCTTATGAACTTGATGCGTGCAGAAAACTGTCTAATACATGTTCTTAGAATGTTCGCAGATAGATCAGAGACCATCAAACCGGGTAACACGAGCTTCATATACTGGGTTGAGAACTCTGAATCATATCTCTCTTTTGGTGAGGATGAGATGGAGACTTCAGAAATCGTGCAGATAGGTGATATGACGTCTCAACCTGATTACGAAAGCCAAGATTGGCAGTTCGAAGGTGCTACATGGATGATAAATCTTTGGTTGCCGAAGAAAGTGCAGAGCATGGTATTGCAAAAATTAACGCATCAGCATCAGAAGTCAATGGGATCGATGTACCTTTTCTTGCTTGCAAACGATCTCCGCAAACTGAGTCTTATGAAATCACAATGACGAACGAGCATAACGAGCAACGAAGATTTTGGTTCTGGAAGAGTATGGTCTGGGATGCGTTCAATGCATGGAGGAGTGGCTAGATGTGTTTTTGTCAAAGGTTCTTTACAGTAGCTGTGGAGAAGACTATCCCTCCTCCGCATCAAAAATATATATCAATGCAATCAATGTAACTTTTCTTGCTTGCAGACACCATACGCAAACTAAGCTCATTTTAGAAAACTAAGTTTGCGTAGGTTTTCTGCAAGCAAGATGAGGTACATGGATTGCGTTGACATGAAATGACAGCTTATGTCAAGACTCTTTGACAAAAACACTTCTACTCACTCATCCATGAGCTGTGGAGAAAACTATAGTTGAAGACTATCCCTCCTCCATATTAATAACATATATCAATGCAATCAATGTACCTTTTCTTGCTTGCAGACGCCCTATGCAAACTGCGTCTCATTTCAAAAACTTAAGTTTGTGTAGGTTTTCTGCAAGCAAGATAAGGTACATGGATCGCGTTGACATGAAATGACAGTGACGAACTAGCAGAAAGAAGAACGTCGGTTTTGGTTTTGGAAGAGGCTGATTTGAGATGCGTTCAGCTCATGGCTGAGTGGCTAGAAGTGTTTTTGTCAAAGAGTCTTGACAGGAGCTGTGGAGAAAACTATAGTTGAAAACTGTCCCTCCTCCATATCAACAACAGATATCAATGCAATCAATGTACCTTTTCTTGGTTGCAGATACCTTACGCAAACTAAGGTTCATTTCAGAAACTTAAGTTTGCGTAGGGTTTCTACAATCAAGATAAGGTACATAGATCGCGTTGACATGAAATGACAGTGACGAACTAGCAGAAAGAAGAATGTCGGTTTTGGTTTTGGAAGAGGATGGTCTAAGATGCGTTCAGCTCATGACTGAGTGGCTAGAAGTGTTTTTTGTCAAAGAGTCTTGACAGGTGCTGTGGAAAAAACTATAGTTGAAGACTATCCCTTTGCCATATCAACAACAGATATCAATGCAATCCATGTACCTTTTCTTGCTTGCAGACATCCTATTCAAACTGCGTCTCATTTCAGAAACTTAAATTTGCGTAGGGTTTCTACAATCAAGATAAGGTACATGGATCGCGTTGACATGAAATGACAGTGACAAACTAGCAGAAAGAAGAACGTCGGTTTGGTTTTGGAAGAGGATGGTCTGGTATGCATTCAGTGCATGGCAGAGTGGCTAGACGTGTTTTTGTCAAAGATTATTGACAGGATCTGTGGAGAAGACTATAGTTGAAGACTATTCTTACTCTGCATCAACAACAGAAATCAATGTAATTTTTCTTGCTTGCAAATGACCTACGTAAACTTAGGCTCATTTCATAAGCCGAAGTTTCCGTAGGTCTTTTGCAAGCAAGAAAAAGTACATCTATCGCGTTGAAATGAAGTAGCAGAAAGAGTAACTTCGGTTCTTGTTCTGGAAGAGGATGGTCTAGGATGCGTTTAATGCATGGCGGAGTGGCTAGAAGTGTCTTTGTCAAAGATTCTTGATAGGAGCTGTGGAGTAGCCTATAGTTGAAGACTATCCTTTTCATTGGAAAGCTCATGCTGAATTATTTCAGTTTTCTTTCTAACTAGATTTTTCTGTTCTTAGAGAGTAATTTGAAATAGATTTTCACATCTATAGTCTGCGAAGAATATAGTGATCAGGTCTCTCTTTTCAATTTTCTAATATGATTTGTAGGTATCATAGGAACTGCATTGTAAGCATTTGAGACGAAGCTAGAGTTTAGAGTTTAGACAGGGTTGATGATTTCGGTACAATGCCATGAGCACCTGGATCACATAGTCTACATTTACGATGAGAAACTTATGAGACTCTTCGTTTAGAGATTTATAATCTGCACTTGCTGGACTCTTTCTATCACACATCACCGATTGAAGTATGCTAAGTTTTCACCTCATGAAGAGTATAGCGTGAGCTGATCTTTTGATTTTCAGAGAAAGAGGCCGCTACTAGATAAAATATCTCTTTTTCTGATTGTGATAATGCTTTTCCTTTGAGCAAAGCAACATATGTATGTAGATGCAAAATTGCAGAATGCAAGCAATGTTTTGCTCTCGAGTTGTACTCAAATATGCATCAACTACACCAGAATCTTGGCGAGACAACACTTAGTATCGTCCATGTTTTTGAATCTGTCTCCATAATCGAATACCGATAATGGAGAACAGAATTCAAGACGATTTTCCTTTTGCTAGAGTTTAAAAAATTGATGAGACGCTGAAATCAATGAGATTTTTGAATTGACATCGGCACTTGTGCTCTTCAGCTATAATTGCTTAAATTATACGAAGAGCTTTCACTTTTCTGTGGAAAATGACACATGTACACTTACACATCCAATCTACTTGAAAGTCGAAATTGGTATAACAATTGGCAATAAAAAATTATTATGTCATTTTCAATATTGCTGCTTGAAACAGGCATGTATACGAGCTCGGCCTAGAGCCTCTCAAGATGGATAGTGATTTCGGAACAGCATCTTGAAGAAGACAAAAAAGGAATCGACTACCTAGGTTTGCAAATTGCCAAACATCAGAATTCTCCTTCCAGAGAGTCTACAGTAAGCGAGAGCTCACTTTAGGAAAGACAGTCACGGGCTGGTTAATGCTCGTGCGGAATCTTTCCGCAGAGCAAATAATGCTGAAACACGTTCTTAAAATCGGACTTGTTGATAACAACCAAGCTCGTAGAAACTATCTCGACGTAAGGAGATTTTATCTGGAATCACCGGGGTTACATTACGCAGTTTATAATAGAGCAACATTTGAAAATGAATTGAACTGATTTTGGTAAATGAAGATCAGATGCATTGATTAAATGTTTCCCTTTTTAGCTAAAAAAATTAAACTCTTGTAGATAATTGATTTGGACGTTTATTTATATGTTTACGTTACGTAACGTTATAACGCAAGCCAATTTTGGAGAGTGGCTACCTTCTCACTAGTTTCTATATTTAGATGACAACTGAAACAACCAAAACTTCTGAGTAAATTTTTGATATGTTTTAACACCAAGTCGGCACTGACATCCAGCGAAAGTGAACCAACGATCGGTTGTTGACCAGTCAACATAATCCAACGTCACTTTCTTCGTTGTTATCTTCAAACGATAACAACCCAATAGCTTTCAAGCATAGGTCTTTCATATGCTAGAACAAAATTTCAACTGGATAACGTCATCCTATATCAAAATGTTTCTATGTTTTAGCAATCTCATGAGCAGTCCAGGGACCTTCCCTTGCCATCTGCCTGTATTGCTCACTCTAACTTGTGTAGTAAATAGCATGGATTGAAGATCGAAACAACAATTTTTAGCAATTGATAGGAACCTTTTGGCGTATAGAGGTCTTATTACGGTTAGAGCGTCTTTTTACTAGAAAAATAGATCAAATCAGATGAATAGGATAAATAGACATTACTATATACTTCGAGGATCATGATCATATCACTCACAATTTGACGTCAAGATCATAAGATATAGATAACTTATCACGAGACTAGAAGAATATGACCAGCAAGCCAATTTTGGACCCGCTTGCAAGTCACCCGGTCGGAATCGCGGGTCGTGTTACAGTAGGTTGTTCAGAAGTCAAGGCCAATCTGTGAGATGATCTAGAATTGCGGGTTGCGTGCGAAGGAGATCTAGGATTGAAGGAAATCTTCGATTTCAAATCGACGATCAATTTCACTCGCCGTGGCAGGTGGATCGTCGATCGGAAATCGATGATTTTCGATCGACGATCCAGCGGCCACGGGCAACCCTAGCCGTCACCGTGTGAACCGCCCGTCAGTGAAGAAGAATATGACCAGCAGGTAAATCAAAAGTACATTATAATGAAGACTGCTCTTTCTCAATACTGCCAGAAGTAGGTAATCAGCAATCAGCACTTGCTGATTATATCACGCAGATGATAGTCATATTTGTAACTTGATGGTAGATTCAAGGATGACTCAAAGAACACGTAATTGCAGATTCTCTATGCTTCTTGAAAGTGATATTTAACTTTTATCCAAACTTGACAAGGTTTTCATTAGCTGGATATATGGGTACAACTAGAGAGCAAACCATTGCTTGCATTCTGCAGACCTGCACCCACATACACATGTTGTTTTGCTGAAAGGTGACAAACACACAACAAAGTGGCATCTTATCTAGTACTGGCCTCTATCTCTGAAATTTTAAAGATCAGCTCAGAATATTTAAAGATCAGCAGATTAGGTGACCTCGACATGTCACCTCATCTGCAATTGTTCCATTAGGGGGAAGCTTATACATAACGAGAGGAATGACTTGCAGGAATTCAAAGGTGGACATAATTCGGAGGTAACTTCCGTGGCATGAGATGACTACAATGCTACACCTTCTAACAAAAGAATTGTACAAGCTCATGCAACAGAAAACATTTTGTAGACTCCAGGCGCGGAAAGGCACTATGTATATTTCACAAGTGGATACGGAGGAAAAGGATTATGTATATATCACAAGTGGATACAGCTTTGGCGTCATTATCGGTTTCCATGTACCAACGAAGATTTGGGCAAGTCTCGACGACTTCCCTGCTAGGCTCTGTGGGTTTATTCCCTCTCTAGTTTTGGGCCTTGGTGTCCACATGGCTAGGAGCCCGCCAATGTTTTGCAGCATTTTTAGAAAATGACACATGACACATTTAGATTGTGTCACATGATGCATGACGCATGATTGGTCTTCAAATCCTTCAAGCGCGCTTTCTCTTCTGGGATCAACTGCTCCAAGATCCGTATTGTTCGTCAAATGGCGCACCCATTGCAAGTTCTGCGACGTCCTGCGTGCCTGGTCCACGAGCATTCTTATCATCCTCACCATCTTCGGTACCCGCTGTTTTCCTTTGTCTTCCTCTTCGGCTCTCGCGCTCTGGTCTCGTCTCCTTCGCTTTTGTTCCTCGTGATTCAGTCAGTCGCGGCTGCCTTGGTCTTGCCTCCTACCGATGCACCAACTCTTCTTACTAGATGGTCATCGCAGAATATTATTTCCCCTGCTGCTGACACTGGCGCTTCCGACTCCCAGCGCTGACGAATCCTCTATCGCCTCGATGCGTCTGAAGCTTGATGCCCCACCTATTGCAAAAGTGATTAGGAAAATGAAAAGTTAATAGTTCTGATTTGCATTGACATAGATTGTACTGAATTGTAAGATCAACTACGGTTTGAGTACGAAAGTTTTTGATTCAAATCAGGAAACAAGGAACTCGAGAAGCAATCAACGTTTACACTGCGAGGACTCTAGAGTTGTCATTGGCATAAACAGTACCGTCCCGATCAGGTAAGCATTGTTTTCATTAAAAATAGGGTTGAGAGTGATTCATTTCAACATATCATAGATTAGATTGTCATTCGACGAAAGTTTTTAAGATTCTTGAGTTTGGATGTCTAAGTTTTGGAAATTTTTTCTTTCCGCTTGTGGTTTATATGTACTCATTTGGCTTTATGTTGTTAATAATTAAAAGGTAAATCGATCCGGTCCTTATTACACACGTTTCCAAGATCACATTGGGTAATAAACACGTAGAGGTCGTGTAAAGCTTCAGTCTGCGCTTTGTGAATTGACTTGGTCATTACCAAGATATCTTAAAATTGAGACAGATGTATGCTGTCAATGTTTACCTAAAGCATGTCTTCAACCTCATCAGATATTAATCCAGTTACCTTTAGGATTTTTTCCCGCTTATATACACATTGCCCAGAGCTGCTTCACTAACAGGACAGTCGCGAGCTAGAATCCTTTCACTGGTACCATCCGTCTTGCTAAGCTTCTTCATTTTATCGTATCCATGAGACTAATTCATGCGTTTCACTTTGGTTTCTTAGACATTGTAACCGAATCAAACGATTATGAAATGATTCCTCTACAGTAAGCAACTACTGGCTAGGTACTCACAAAATACTCCCATTTTCAAGTTGCGAAAGTAGGCGGGAACCCATTGTAGTGTGAAGTTGATCTGTGATGTTGTGAATTTAGGTATTTCAAGATCACATTATGGGGTTTCATGCCAGGCCACCTGATGCCATCTGGTGTGGCATGGTAGTCACCTCATGGCACAAATTTCGCTCCATATTCTGTTACCATGTATCCACGTTGGATTTGTTGCGAGCCATTCCTCTCGCTATGCATAACCTTCCCCTATAAGAACAATTGCAGATAGGGAAACATGGTCATTGAACGAGACTACTACAAGAAAGTATGTCCTGAGTTAGAACAAGACATTATAAATGGTGTTTTTTGAAAATGTCATTATCGAATCCATGGATGAATGATTTATCATAGATGGATCCAATGACGCCATTTTCAGAAAAAACCTGATTCATGGATAAGTCCTGTGTTTTGAGAAAAGTGCGTGTTGCTTGATCCTTTCAGTTTTTGAGCTTCACCTCCTTCTCTTCCAGTTTCACATCTTGAGTTCGTGCACAGTGTCTGAGTTTCACAGAATTCAAAGACACTTGAATGGATGGTATTCTCTTCCAGGTGCACATCTTGAGTTTGTTATCAAGTATGGAAGTAGAGATTGGCAACAGCGGTTACAAGCCTCACGAACTCGGTAAGTTTCTTGAGTTTGATAGAACAATTTTAGAGCATAGAAACCACTTGCCAAGCTCTGGAGTTATCATCGTATTTATAAACCTCCACATGTTTAGGGTATTAGATCCCCGTACAGAAAAATAAAGCTCGAGAGCAATCACCTTTTGTACATAGGTAGAGTAATGGCTCGTAAAAAGTCAACGGTGGATATATGGAAACATAACTCGGAGGTAATTTTGTGGCATGAGGTGCCTACAATGCCAGACATTCTGGCAGAACAAAGGTACACGGTCATGCAACTGGAAGCACATTTTTAAAGTGCTTCCGGTTGCATTACCTTGTACCTTTGTTGATTCCAGGCGGAAGGAGATTATGTATGTTTTTGCAGTGGATACAACTTTGGTGTTATTATCTGTTTCCATGTAAAACTCACGGAGCCTAACGGTGAAGTAGTCGAGCCGTGCCCAAATCTTCGTCGGGCACATCGACTTCACTATTATGCTACGTGAGTTTTACTCACACGTTCGTTTTGATACTTCGAATCCACATGGCCAGGAGTTGGACGATAGTTTGCAGCATTCTTTTTGGCAGCCTAGGCTAGATTCAAACTTTTAAATTCCTTCACATACTCAAGACTGGTGAATATATTGCTTGTAGCTCACAGGCAGACAACAGAGTGAAGTATTCATTATGCAGGAGGATCTCAGTCTCAAAAATGCAGCTGATAATTTTCTTTAACAGATATCAGATCTTTTGGAATCTCTTCGTACTTTGTAAATTTCGTATGATTTGGGTAGTGCAGAAAAATTTTCTTTTCAGTAAGAAGTGATGCAGTGAGAGGTAATTTTGACCAAGGCATTTTATTCGAAGTGAAATTGTAAGTAGATGGAATTGCCCCTCAATCACCAAGAAGCCAATTTTGAATAAATGCATTGGGATTTTGTATGCGATTCTAATTGATTAAAATTCTAGCCATGCCTAAGAGGTAGCGCTTTGCAGTCAGAAAATTCGCCTAGATTTGACAGTTTTGTTAGAAAGTTTGCCTCATTTCCTTTACTTTTATTGGTAAAAAAAAATGTGATCCATGATGCTTTCTATTATTTCCCTCAAACTAGTATCCTACGAAGATACTCTCAAATGGAAAGTGGCGGTTTTTTTTCGCTTTTAAGGCTCTCTTTCCTTCTCACATAAAAAATGGCGATTTTTTCTTTAGATTAGACGTATCTCTTCATTCTCACATCGAAAATGGCGAATTTTTTTGAAGACATCATGGAATTAATCGATATTATTTTATCATCACCAGATTTGGTTTTTTACTTTGATGATTTCTAAACATTCAATGATAGCAGATCTTAATCGAACGTAATCTGATGCCATGGCCTGGCATGGCATGAAGCACCGCAGTGTTATCTTGTAACACCGTAATTCATAACATCTCAGATCATTATTAAAAGTACAGTAATCTCTCGTACGAGGTTTGAACCTGGGAGGATTGTGGTTGTGCGTAGATACCTAATAATTGTTTACTTTAGAAGAATCATTTCATAATCGTTTTATTGAAACGATACGGAAACCCTAAATGAGTCCCATGGATACCATATAATGAAGAAGCATATCAACAAGGATGGTACCAATGTAAGGAGTCTTCAGCAAGCCTCATAAATTGTGGCAAATGCCATGATTCTGGAATTTTGTCACTAACAATATCATTTCACTATTTTCATTCGATGGCTTGGCGATAATATTTTTCAACGTTTCGAATTGCTTTGCAAAGTACATTGCACTATGTTCCAACCAATAATGGAAACAAACATGTTATAAAAATGATAGGAAGTTTAAAAATAGATGTTGAGTCGTTTTCGAAGAAGTAAAAGCTTTTGAGTTGCGTGATTTGGAATAGAGAAAATCATTGATATCGGTAGAAAAGATGGCGTTGTTTCGATCGCAGCTGAATCGATGGCCAGCTTGCCTTCTCCTATCGCCGACTACACGCAACTGGTCCAGGGCATCGCCGCAGTCTGTCTGAGCGAGAAGGACATGGTGGTGCTCTCAGGTGAGAGCAACTCGACCACCAGCACTCGGCACACCAGTCTAGCTATTCTGGAATGTGATATAGGAATTTGTGTCTGAGACGCTGTCCGAGAGCAGTTATTTATTCACCTTCTGCCATTTGTATGTAAAATTTGCAGGTGGCATAGCATAGGCAGAGCCAAGTGCGGAGCATTCTCCCATCGCATTTACGGCTTCTCCGGCCTGGGGCAATCAATGGGACAGATCAACGGGACAGATCCGACTCTGGATCCAGAGTATGCCAAGGTGTTGAGGCAGCAGTGCCCACAACATGCTCACCTGAACACGGTGTTCCTGGACCCGTCAGGCTGCTTTTCCGGACAGACCTCGAAGTATCCCTCGGAGGCCGTGAAGGACAAAAGAGGCGTGCTCCCCTCCGATGCAGCCAAATTTGGCCAAATGTGCCAAGAATACCCAAGAAGCGAAAACCTCAAATATGTATACATTTGTACCAAGAGCATCACAAAAATTGCCAATAATATACAAGTAACAAAAGTCTCTAATCCTTATCCCTTCCATTTATAACAAGCATATTAGTCACAGAACATCGGAAGAGATACGCCATTGATGTCATCAAAACTTGACCGCATTTGATAATTACATATGGCGTTATTCCATGAAGTTTTGGTTGTTTCATTCCTTTCGAGTTGAGCTTGAATAAAGATCGAGAACGCTAAGATTTGATATAGTGAAGAGATCCATTAGTGAGATAAGCGGAGCTATGTCGAGAAACACGACTGACTCACTAGGAGCATCCAGAGAAACATCCACGCTGGTAAAATGTAAGTCTGGTCCAATCATACTGAGTACGAAGTATCAACATATTGCATATGTTATATTGATTAATGTTAGGATTTGGTTTAGCTTCCACAATTGCCAGTTGAGATCTATGCCTCGATTTCATTGTTTTGCAAAGGTAACTTCTAATAGCCACCTCATCTTCTAACTTATATGAATGATTTATGCAGAAAACCAGGACAATTATTATTACAACCTTGTGCTGTATGAGCACAAGGTTTCAGAATATAATGCTAATACATCGCTCAACCATCGCAAAAGAGTTAAAACATGACACCGAAGCTTTCTCATGAGGAGAGTGTACAAAAATACAGTCACAGTCATGCAACTCTGATAAGTCTGAAGGCGACTGGTTTAAGTTGTTTGCCACGCTTTGGTCGTGCTGGAATGTAAATCGAGACAAATTTTTTATGTGGCATGTTCTTCCTCATAATCTATACAAATATAAACGAGCCTCTTGTATAGGCCATGGTGACGATCTCTACCCTAGAGAATGTAACGATACTGAATCGACTCCTCATATTTTGTTTTACTGCCACTACGCTTGGAGTACCTGGGATGCTGTGGCCAAGTTGCGATGGGGCAGTGCTAGCCACAAGAATATTTTCCAGCAAGCAAATAAGTACTGCATCTTTTGGAGCTTGGCCTGCAGAAATCGTGTGATTTTGATGCGGGAGCTGAGTGGATGCTGATGACGGAAATATGTAGAATCTTTGGGTTAGTAGGAATCAGGTTCTTTACTCAACATTCATGCTAGAGTTCGCAACACTGTTGATAAGGCTATCGATCTTTAGAAAAAATCAAACATCTTTGGAAAGAGTCAAACATCTGAAATCCTCCCAAGAAGCTTTTGGTCGTTTGATTTGGTTTCACATGTGAGTTCGTGTAGTAAAGATTCAAGGTGCTTTGAATCATTCTAGCCAAAAATTATTGCATAAGTACAATGGTTATCAAGGGTTATTCCAACAAACACTTTGGAACCAACTTTCGAGATGGAGAGTCTACTTGTACATCAACCAAACCAAATTCATATGCAGCAAATTGATGATGGAGAACCAGGGTACTCCCAAGTGCATGACCATGAAGATGTTGGTAACGCAAGCAGATTTATCTAAGCGATCCGCAGATTCTGGCAAGTTCGACGAGCTCCGGATGCTATCAGGAAACGGCGACAGCTGTCGAGAATCGAGAATGGAAAGAAGGTCAGGGCAACTCAAAAGCCGGGTACTAGGCTTGGCCACGGTCCGGACCGACCGTTAACCGGTTAACCGTCGGGACCGGTTAACCGGTCTGGGAAAAAAATTTCCTCTGGCAGCAGAATTAGACTAGCGAGGTACCCAATTCGTGATCCAGTGTGAAAAAATTCGCGAGAAAATTTTTTCACGAATTGGTACAACTCAGCTCGAGTCGCTGAACTCTGAAAGTCCGTGGGCTCATTTGAGTCGCGACCCACCTCTTTCCCTCCGCCATCGAGAATTTTTGGTTTTTAAGGCCCCTCCCCATCGGCCACGTAGGGGTCCGGACCGATGATTAATCGGTTAACCATCGGGACCGGTTAAAATATCGGTTAACCGTTAACCGATACGTACATATCCTGGACCGGTTAACATACTGGTTAACCGGTCCACAAATTTTCCGGACCGGTTAACCGGACCGCGGCCAAGCCTACCGGGCACCACCAAGACATCATTCAAATTGAAGGATATACAGTACATGCGAACCGCCGGGTCGTAGCAGCAAGACTGCGGCTTCCTGGAGCCGAACCATTCGACGCCGTGCGTTTTTGAACAAGAGTAAGTAGCGCTCGGATGACGGTTACAAACCAAGGTGACGGTTACAAACGATTGGTGTACGTACACCGTCAGCCTGGAGAGAATAAAGTCGGGGTTGTTATAGCCAAAAGCGGAGCAAGGCGAGCACGGGATTTCATGAACACGGGGCAATCCCACATTCACAACCAGCTCTTGGACACCACTCTGAGCCTCGCCAAGAGTCCGGAGCGGTAACCACGACAAGATTGCGAGCAGAATATCCTGGGGCAGTCTTCCCCACAATCTGGAATCCATCGCCTCGCGCCTCCGATCGCTCCCGACATTTCTTTCAAATGACGCAGAGTCAGATTATCAGATTGGAGTCTATGTTTCGATCTAGCAGTCCAAGAAGGTTGCCAGGTTCTCCACTGCAGCCCTATTTGATTGCTTAGCTTATTGATCGCATGATTACTTGGCCAGAAGGAGGTAGTGTTACCGGAAGTCGCACTGGATCTACGATTTTCGAAAGGCAAGTTCAATTTGAGCTCTGACTAGAACTCGAGTACCGTGGACAGTTCAACGCGGCCTTGGGACCAGAAGCGTCAATTTCTTTACAATGAGACCTTTTGGCATATTGAGGTATAATTAGGGTTCGACACGTCTTCTTATACGTCTTCTTTTATACACTTCAAATACATATCATAATCAATAGTGCCATAGTGGGTTACATGATTGACGCTTGCCATCCTTCGAAGGCACCCACTGTTGTTTGGGTCTGGTTCTTGAAATTTCAGATAATCCTCCTCCATAACAAGTGTTATTGCAGATTCACCTAGTAACTTTCATTTTTCTGTAGGGTGAAGTAACTTTTGGTTTAGAACTATGTCTGTAGAAACGTGCTTTGTATGCAAAAGAGAGGGATGTCTTGTCCCTGTAGAAGTTCGGCCTATCAGTTTTGAACACTTTAGCTACTCGGCTGTGTCCGTATCGTAACAAGTCAGTGGAGACGCGCTGATATTATATGATACTGTCTTTCAGCGTAAGAATTGAGTTTTGGAATTTCTCTTTTTGCAGGTCGGACTTGAGAGGCGAGCACATACTACATGCTTTACATTCTCATGCTTCCTGTACCCAGTCCTCGCTCCTAGGAGCAAAATTAAGATTTAAGAATTCTGCTCCTAGGAGCAGAATTCTCATTTTGATTATTTTGAGATGCACATGTATATTCTTTCCATGCACGCGCGATCTGATATCTGACTGAATGATCGAAGCTCCATAGATAAACCACCGAAACCATTACAAGTCTAACGATGTGTGCGATTGATGGCAACATTTTCAGGTCGAGGTCTCTTGAATCCAACCGAAGTGAAAGTGCAAGCGCAGGAAGGCTGCTACCATGGACCAATCATTTGCAACCATATTAAAAGTCAATTTCTGATCCCAAGCACTAGCGGAGGGATAGCTCATGGCGTATAAAAGTGGGTTCAAACCGACCGGCGCTATTAATGGCAAAGCTGGGGTGGCAGGTCATATAGGGGCTGAAGATGGTGGAGGAGGGAGGGGATGCTTTGGGTGATGGTTGTTTAGCTAATATCAAACCTATCACCTTCAGGTTGGAGCTAATCATCGTAATTACTTGTTTGATCAAACAAGCAATCAAACTAGCTCCATAGTTCGTGACCGAGTGTTTGACCTTGAAAGTTGTAACTAGCTACATACTATTTTAGTATTTTAGTCAGTGGTGGAGTTTGAAAGTTGCAACTAACCTGAAGGCTGAGTAACTTGTTACAACTTGCGCTCTAACACTGCCTAATAAGCTATATGCAACTTTCAAGCTCCAACATATACTAAAGTCCTCTGTATCTCGTTACAAGTTTCAAGCTCTAACACTCACTAACGTAATGTGCAAAGTTCATGTAAAGATTGTATTTACGATTCAAAAATCAATGATTTGTCTATAGTTGTAGACACTTTGCTTTTGTTTTCAGGTTGTTGATGAAGTTCTACATCGTATGTTCTTCATAAGTTTCAATTATATGTTCTCAAATCGTTTGATTTGATTTCGCAGGTGAGTTCGTGTAGTCAAGTTTCAAGTTGCTTTGGATCATTCCAGCCAAAAGTATTGCACAAGTTACATAAGTTATACACACTGCTCTCGTTTTTAGGCTATCTTTTCATTTCAATAGTTAGTTTTCACATCGTTTGATTTGTTTTCACAGGTGAGTTCTAGTATTAAAGTCTCAAGGTGCTTTGTATCATACTAGGCAAAAGTATTTTACAGGTACAATGGTTTTCAAGGCTTCTTCCAACAAAAACTTTCGAAGCAACATCTACATGAAGACGAGGAGTTTTCAAATCGCTTAAAAAACTCCTCGTCTTCATGTAGAGGTTGCCACAAAAGTTTTTGTTGTTCTTTAAAGCGATTTGAAACAAAGACGAGACCTTGAATGGATTTACTTCCTAATGCGACATCCTGCGGGAGGAATTTCAAAGCCGAACATGAGACTGATCGCTACCGCTGCTGCTCGTAAACAAGCATCCGGATGAGTGACTGGTTGCAGCTACTTGCGTCGTAGCCAGAGGAGCGATAATAGCACCGCAAGCATTTTCGAAACGAGGAGTTTTCAAATCGCTTAAAAAACACTCACTAAAGTAATGTAAACATGTATGAGTAATGTGTAAAGTGCATGTAAAGATTGTATTTAAAATTCAAAAATGAATGATTTGTCAATAGTTGTACAAACTCTGCTTGAGTTTTCAGGCTGTCAATGAATTTCTATATCGTATGTTCTTCATAAGTCCTCTTTGTTTTTCATGTATGTTCTTCATAAGTACTCTTTGTTTTTCATGTAGATGTTTGTTCAAAAGTTTTTTTTTGTTTTTAAAGCGATTTGAAACAAAGGCGAGATCTTGAATGGATGTACTTGCTAATGCGATAATTTCAAGTAATTTCAAGTTATACGTGGCGTCGAGAGAATCTAATTTGTTCCTCCGAACATCAGGTTCTTCACTTATTTTAATATCATTCTTGATTTTGTTCATAGTGTGTCCCTGCAAGTCGGACGTGAGAGGCGAGCACACGATATGAGACCCGCAAGATCTCTGAACCCAAGACCGAAATTACTTATCGAAAATCCGAGGTCTGAGGGACCCACAGGCCGCCTGAATGCCGTTCCCGCGATGATGGGTAACAGCCTGCTTCCCACGTGCGACTTCACATCCCGCCGTTCTGCTTCCCACGCGTGTCTTCACACCCCGCCGTTCTGCTTCTCACGCTTGTACATGCGATATTCATGACAACGCCGAATTCCGCCGTCGGAAATCTTCTTCCACGTGGCACTCTACCGCCAAAGGAACTCTATCGGCGAAGGCGATTGAGCAATCGCCTAATTTGAAGGTAGCTAAGAAGATTACATGTCTTTCTTCAATCATCAGATTACATGTCTTCCCTCAGTCATCAGTCAATAATCCTCGTTTATTAGTAAAAGACAAAAGACGAGCGGGTCAATTCGCAGGGCAAGACAAGCGCGGGCGGCTATGACGAGTAGTTTGGGCGGGCGGAGCGAGAGACAGCTGCTTCCAGTTTATATCCCCGGGTGACAAGCAGCAACTTTCTTGGCTTTGGCATGCGAGGCAGGGCTACGAAGTATGCCCATGAAGGTGAACCTCATCCCAGCAAGAAGATCTGAACCGTTGAGATATTTTGGAAAAAATATAGTACTCAATACTAGGAATAAACTTCAAGATGATCTCACGGTTAGTTTTACTTCTGTTGAGTTGAGTGCTTTCATCGTATGTAATTTCTACCTTTCAGGGTCTGTTTTTGAGTATCTTATGGTGGGAAAATGTGGTAGATGACGAAAGTGGTGAGAGACAAAAAAATCACATGAATTGGTACAGGTTGAAATTGGGAAGAATTACAATTGAAGATTCAAAAACTAGATAACGAGAGAAGTTTTGAAAGAGAGGGAGGGTGATATTCTCCACGGATAAATAATAATGAGATAATTTCGGTTTAAAAAAAAACGGTTTCGATTTTAGAACTTATAACTATATTTTTTTCGAATCGACTTTGAAGGAATTTCTTAGATGACTTAGGAAAGTGAGGAATGGTAATTTTGGTAGTGGTAGAAAATGATAAACTCAGATTTTGGAGAATCCACTGTGAAAATTAAATGATAGAGGAACTCAGAATGAAAGGGAGAAACTTTCAAAAAAAGACTTAAAATTATTTGATCTAGTACATGAGTACGGTTGCCTCCAGAGCCACCTGGCTTGCACCGAAGAAGTTGGTCAGAAGGGCTGCATCGGAGGCGAGCACGCCCCTGTTGGCCTTCACGGCCTCGAAGTATCCCTTGTCGTAGGTCTATCCGGGGAAGCTGCCTGACGGGGTCCAGGAACACCGTGTTCAGGTGAGCATTTTGTGGGCACTGCTACTTCAACACCTTGGCGTACTCTGGATCCAGAGTCGGATCTGTCCCGTTGATTGCCCAAGGGCCAGAGAAGCCGTAAAGGCGCTGGGAGAATGCTCCGCACTTAGCTCTGCCTACGGTGTGACACCTGCAAATTTTACAGTAGAAATGGCAGAAGGTGAATAAAGTACTGCGCCTCGGACAGCGTCTCAAACACAAATTCCTATTCACATTACAGAATAGCTAGAGTGGTGTCGCGAGTGCTGGTGGTCAATTTGCTCTCAAGTGAGAGCAACTTAGGGTTTACAAGTTGCTCTCACCTGAGAGCACCACCATGTCCTTCTCACTCAAACCGACTGCGGCGAAGCCCTCGACCAGTTGCGTGTAGTCGGCGAAAGGAGAAGGCAAGCTGGCCATTGATTCAGCTGCGATCGAAACAACGCCGTCTTCCTACCGAGATCGACCACCCAAGATCCCCCTTCGATCTGTGCAGACGTTGCAAAACCGATTTATATGATGTTCAAGGGGCAGTCTCAGATGAGAAGTTAAAGTTCTAAATTTTTCAATTCGAGCTAGAAGTAGAATTTAGTACCAGTCTTTTAGCATAGTTCACTCCTGGTTTACCTTAAGGATCACGTCGCGAGCTTCAAGACCACACTTCCACATAACTAAAGTAATAAAGTCACTTATTCCGGTCATACGTGGCGTGAAGAAAAACTGATTTGTTCCTTCGAACATCAAGTTCTTACCTTACTTTAATATCATTCTCATCTTTTCGACATATTTTGTTCATGGTGTGTCCCTGCAAGTCGGACGTGAGAGGCGAGATGTGAAAGTCCAAATCAATGGCAGAGCTTTCCATGCACGCGGAATTTAATCTTTGCTGCCGCGACGATCAAAGCTTCCCAGCAATAAAATGGACAAACTAAAGTGAAAGTCTAATGACATCTGCAATTGATGTCATTATTTTTAGGTCGAGATCTCTTCGTAGCTAACTAACACTAAAGCAGTAATGAACGTGCGAGCTATGGACGAGTCAATTGCTACCATATTAGAATTCAATTTGTGCAATCAAGCAGTCTCGTAGGGACAGCTCATGGCATAGAAGAGTGGATTCAAACCGGCCTGCGCTGGTAATGGCCAAACTGGGATGGCGGTGGAGGGAGTGAGGGGATTAGTGATGGATATGTATTAAACCAGAGTATTATACACAAATTATATTATAGTATAGTATTGGGCTTAAAAAATAGCATTTTTTTTTATTGTTTTATAACCTACGATGCGACATCCTCATTTGTGTGGAGCACGTCAATTGACCCGATCGTAGATTTAGGGTCCTTGGTGCATGCCATCATATGCGCTTGGTGCATGCTGTCACATGCACTTCCAAACGATCTACTTTGGCCGCGATGGTTGAAGTCCACTACAGTTAGTTGAAATTTAGATTCCACTCCAGGCATCTGAATTTCAGGATCTTTTGGTTTCCCATAACGAACTTGTTCGAATCTAATAGTCTTAATTAGTTTAATTTTTGTCGGTCAAAGTTTATCTAATAGCTTAATTAGTAGATCTTCAAGATCAACGGAAATCCATGTGAATCAAATCACTTGCACAAATCACTTGCAGTTTGAAGAATAACTGAGTCATTGGCAATGCTACAGAAGTTCGAAATTTACAAATATCTGACAAATTCCTGAGCAATTTGGACCAAATTTATGCTCTTAGGTTGAAGAAAAATTCTATATAGTTCATTAGAGAGTAAGTAGTTATCTTCAAAAGATGAAGCAATAACAAATTATAAAGAATATTATTTAGAATATTGATGCTTGTAACAGGCATGTATCCAAGCTCGGCCTAGAGCCTCTGAAGATGGATAGTGATTTCGCAACAGCATCTTGAAGAAAAAGAAAGAGGAAATGACTACCTAGGTTGCCAAATTGCCACAACATAAGGATTCTCCTTCCGAAGCATGTTTCACTAAGTGATTCTCAATATACGAAAGACATTCTTTCAGTCACGCGCTGGGTTAATGCTACTGCGGAATCTTTCGGCAGAGTTAGTAATGCTGAAACACGTTCTTAAAATCGGACTTGTTGATAGAAAAAAAGCTGGTAAATAACATCTTGGAGTAAGGAGATGTTATCTGGAATCGTATGGGTTACATTACACAGTTTAAAGCAACGTAGCAATAATAACGTTAATCTATAATATTTCAACGTTTGAAAATAATATGAACTAATTCTGCTGAATGAAGGTCAGATGCATTGAAAAAATGTTTCCTTTTTCATCTTAAAAAATTAAACTCTTGGTATATAATCGATTTGAACATACGGTTATATGTTATACGTTACGTTATAACGCAAATTTGAAGAGTGGCATCCTTCTCACTAGTTTCTATTTTTAGATGACAACTGAAGTAACGAAAAATTTTGAGTAAATTTTTGAAATGTTTTAGCTCCAAGTTGGCACTGACACTCAACAGAATCCAACGTCCCTTTCTTCCTTGCTATCTTCCAAAACATA